TTGCTGATTTAAAGGGTAGGATTAAATCCTCATTTAATAAGCCCAAGTGGCCGCTCCCCCCATTCTGATCACCCTGTGTCACAGCGATAATGCTGGAAAGGCACTGGGAGCCTGGAGGCACGGCAGCAAATTCTGTCTTCACGAGCACAGACCTGATGATTGCTCGCTGCTGCAGCCCATGAGCAGGCGCTGGCTGCTTTGTGGTGATCCTTGCAGCACAGCACGGGAGCTGCTTCCTAGGGCTGCTCAGAAGGCAAGCTGAACATTTGGTGTTAGCACCTTCCAACTCCCTTGTTTGCATTGCCCCCTCCTAATTAAGGATCCTACGGAGACCCAGATGTGTAACATAAATAGTTCGGTTGACTCAACTAAGCTGCTCCTGGGCAGGCTTTGTTTTATGAGCAAGAACTGCTTCTTCAGGGCTTTCACCTTACCAGCTCCTACCATGTTATTTTTAAATAGTTCTAAAAATGCATCCTGTAAATAAAATCCCTACCATGAACAAGAAGAGCCTTTCCACAGAGCAGTGCACAGAGCCTCTCTGTGAGTGAGAAAACTGTTTTCCCTTGTCTGTCAGATCAGCTCATTTAGATTATTTAAGTCAAGTGCAATTTTGAAAACAATCTGGTTTGCTTGTGACGCCTTTTTCATTCTGCATAATGATGCTGAATGTAACAAGCAGCAAAGGGTTGTTGACGGCAAATTTTCCACATGCTCAGGCCCGTGCTTCTCATGTCGACTTATAAAAGAGCCCCTTGCTTTATTTTCCCCAGACATTAGGCAGAAAGTATTTCCTAACATGTCAGCTTTAGAACTCCATGCTGAAGCTTCATTTCACATAAAGTCTTCACAGCAAACGCAGATAAAGGGGAGGGTGGAGGAAAGGGGAGCTCTGAAATGGCGCCAGCTCCTTTTTAACTGCTTTTAGTCAGCGCGTTCCTCTGTCTCTTGCAGTTTATTCTCTCACTCTGATTATGTAAAAATCCTAATTAAAAAGTTAATGGGGAACTGAAGACAGGAGGATCCAGATGTATGCCAGGCTGGCAGGGGGCAGATGGCGGCTGCTGTTGAGAGAGGATACGTGGGGATCAGTGACCAGAAGGCCATGTTTACTGAGTGGTGAAAATGTAACAGAAATCCTTTGCTGGCAGCTGCCTGACGGCAGGGCAGGTTTTTCCCTTCAGTAGTTGTTTCCATTTTTTTCTAGTTTCACATATGGCCGTGGTGCTTTGGAGATGTTCATGTACACATCAGGAAAGCAGCAAAGTTCAGTGCTAACAGGACATGATGTGCTGCCTCCCAAATCCCAAAGCACCTTTGTTTTGTTGGCATGCAGGCAGTTGGTGTGGGATGGGGATGAAGTTCATCCTTCTGCTGCTTTTTGAAGAAAAGACACTTCTTATCCAAGCGTTGTTGTCTCGCCTGAATTTTTCCAGTGTTCCCAGCAGTAACCCAGCAGTGTAGGAACACAGCTGAAATAAAGTGCCACTTGGGAGGGTGAAAGCTGTAGGAGTGCAAGGTTGGTGTGAGGAGATGTTGAGATAAGTAGTGGGTTAGTTAATGCAGCTGATTGGCCAGCAGTACAAACAACTGTCATATTTATAAGACAGAACGGAAGCATTTTCTGCAGCAGTCTAGCTGCTAGGAGCATGTACATAAATAAAATTAGGGAACAATCTAAAATAATAACGAAAACTACAGATCTCGACTATGAATTTTATTGAAAGAGGCATAATACAGTTAACAAAACAACATGAAAAGAATACATAATGAATGTATTAGCCTTCATAACTGAGGACTAAGTAAACAGCAGCCCTCCTACATCGAGCACAGTCCCTTTAAAGACAGATAAAACAGAACTGCAGTGAATGAACAGCCAGAGGAAGCTGAATCCAGATGCTAGCAAATGGCAGCTTTTAGTTGCACACAATTACATGACAATCCTAACTTCCCCACATGAAAAAAATAAACATTAAGACCAAATTTAACTTCCAAGTTATTAATAGAAGCAGAGAAACTAATTTCTAACTGTCAGTGCTCCTTTAAGTACATGAAAAATAATACTATCACTTTATGCATGTGCATGTTCAGCTCACAGCAATGCAAGCTCTATCATTAAGCCTCTAGGAAGAGGACAAAAATAACCTTGCTGGCTAGGCTGCATTGTCATAAGTGCTCATCTTGAATAAAGTAGGATCTGCTTCAGCTGAAAAATACACCATTCATGCTGGCAGAAAGGCAGGTGATAGTGCGGCATATTTTCAGAGACAATTGCTCATTTGTCCAGGGCATCCATTTGTTTTTCAGGTGCATAAAATTGCATTCTTTTTTTTTTTTTTTTTTCACAAACATTAATAAGAATGGTGAAACTGAGCAGGTAAATGTTTATGATGATGCTGCAAGCTGGACGCTTGAAGAGAGCAAGGACTTCCCCGTGCTAACAAAATCACTTCTCAATGCAGCTCTTATAATAGAGCAAGCAGGACAACGCTTATTTCCATGTGAACGGTGGAAGGGAGCTTAGAAGAAAATTAAATTCCTGAACAGTACTGCAGGCACATACAATAACAATTATTCCTTGAACAGTAGCTGTTCAGACTGCTGGGATATTTTTAACTAGTGCTTTAGAACTACATGCAGGAATGCCGGCAAGCAGCTGTCTGAATGACAGTTTGGCTGTGCACAAAAGCAGCCCAGCACTGGGGCCAGACAGAATGTATTGAAAGCTAATATATCTCGATTTTTTCTTGCAGAGATGTAGTAGCTACAAGTATGACATCAGTGTATTTGGTATGGCACAAGGGCCTTCCCAGTCCAACTTTTCTAAAAAGAAAAGGATGATTTGTATTCACTGTATAATCTGTTTTCACATTTTATTAGGCAGCCTGCTAAGAGTGGTGCATCTGCCTCTTTCTAAGAATTTTATCCTGTAGGCATTGGAACTTGGAAGCAGAAGTCAGACATAGAGTTTGTAAATGCTGTTTAAGCTGACTCACAAGTTTAAAACTGATATTGCAAATCATCCTCTTATATATGCTTCTTATTTATGCCAATAACAACACTTCGGATTGCTCTAGCTAAAATTATATATGTATAAAACCCTCTTTGCCATTAGTTATTCTGTGGACTTGGGTAGCGAAAATGAAATGATTTCATTTCGAGGAACTTTGCAGCTCACAGTGGCAGTACTTGGGCTACTAAGACCTCACCCCACTGCTACCTCAGCCTTGCCTACAGAGCAGTGCCTCTGCCTACTGCAGATTTCTGTCTGATCTCATCTTCCTTGTCTCAGAACACTGTTCTCAATTCGCTTCCATTATTCCTAGTCAGTCCTCTGACTGGTTTGGTTTCTCCAAAGTAATTCATGGGATATTTTTACTGAACTCGAGAGCAGTAAAACAAAGAGCGTGGCTCATAGGTTCTCCTCTCTTTATTGCATGTGTATGAAGTTAGAAAAGCTCTGTTTACTCTTTGCGTTATGTGTTCACATAACTGATTCCTAGTTAGGTTTGTGAGCGCTAGGTGCTTTTCAGTTCCTTCCCTCGACTTAATGAAGCTTGTGGAAGGATAAGAGAAGCACTATCTTATTTGATGGTGGTTACTTAGACATTAACACTTTTCCATCAGTCTTCGTGGTTACTGTTTCCCCAAAATTCAGATTAGAGCTGAATCAGCAGTGCCTAGGAACAGAAAGAACCGTGACACGAAGGGAAAAATATCGGTGGAAATCTGTGTTATCTTCCTATTTGCGTGTCATCTTGCAATCCTCAGGGATGTGGCCGTTCTTTTCTACGGGATGTTTCATAAAGGAACGCTTAGAACTCGGTGTGTGCTCTCAAGGTCAGTAAGAAGCGCACTGACACACCGCACCCGAAGCGGTAAGCTGCTCAAAGGGAACGAGCGCTGCCGAGATCTACCGCCGAGGCCTCGGTCCGGTCCGGTCCGGGCCGGGCCCCGACCCGAGGCGAGGGCGCTTCGCCACCCCGCCCCGTCGCTAGGGCGGTCGCTACGGCGCCATGTTGGGAGAGCGCGGCGACCCGGAAGCGCTTCCGGGGGCGGGGTTTCGTTTCCTGTGCGGCGGGGCCGGACCCGGCCGGGTTAGGAGGCAGGAAATGGCGGCGGTGCTGCAGCAGCAGCTGCCGGGCCCTCCCGCTCCGCAGTGCCGGGCCCAGGCCGCCTAGAGCCGCCGCGCCAGCGCCGGGCCCGGGCCGCAGCCACGCCGGGCCGGACTCCGAGCACTTTACATACATGAGGTAGCGGGCGGGGCCGGGCGGCGGGAAGGGCGGGCGCCGCCGGGCTGAGGCGCCAGCGGGGTCCTGGGCGGCGGGCGGGGGAGGGGAGGGGCCGGGAGGCGGCGGCGGGGGAAGGGGGGCTCGGGGCGGCGGGCGCGGCCCCGCCCGGCTGCGGGGCTCGGGGACGGGCTCGGCCCATCCGGCGGGCGGGAGCGGCCTCGGGCGCGGGAGGAGGCGCGGCGGAGCGCTCCGCGGCTGAGCTTTGCCCTCCCGGCCCCGAGCCGTTCGCTCCGCTCCCCGCCCCGCGCTCGCAGCCCGAGCTGAGGGGGGGTCGGGGGAGCCGAGCAGGGAATTCTGTCGGCTGCGTTTGAGCCGGGTTCCCAAGTTTCAGCGATGCGGCAGAATCGCGTCCTTTGAAGCGCTGCGAACGATTCGGCGCGGGATGCGTGGCAGGAAGGCTGCTCGGGCTCCGCTCCCGCCCCGCAGTGCCCCGCAGTGCCCCGCTGCCCCCGGCTGACGGCCCGGCGCTCCGTGCGTCCCCCGCGCTGCCGGCCGCCATGGGGCGCGTTGTGCTGCGCTGCGTTGCGTTGTGCTGCGCTGCTCTGCTCTGCGCTGCGCTGCGGGCGCGGCTCGGCGCCCCGCGGGTTGGGTCGTTGCTTCCTGTCGCGTTGTTGTTGTTGACATGGGAACCGACATCGCTTTCTGTTCCAGAGAGTTGGAAGCTAAAGCTACCAAAGAAGTCGAAAGAAAACTAAGCAGGTAAGATGCTTGAATCCCCTCCTGAGTGCAGGGCGCGGGTCGGCCGAGGGCTGGATGCACTGTGGGTTTGATCTGGGCCTGTAATGTCACACTAATTGTAAGGACTTAATAAAACTATAACTTGAAAGTATGTCCTGCTATTGCATAGAGGCGTTTCTGCGATTTTAGTTCAATAGGCTGAACACTTTTAATGTTGTTTCTTTTACATACGGCGTCAGATTCTGTAATAGAATTTGTTTAATAGGATAGAACACTTATGAAGAGAAAAATAATCTGGCATTCTGTCCTAAGTTGAACCTAACAGTATTCCAAAAATTAATGAAGCTGAGGTTTGGGGTTTCTTTTTGTTTTTGGTTTTGTTTTTTTTTGCTATTTTTCCTATGCAGTTCAGGCAAATATTGTTGAGAAGCAAGAAGTTACTGGTTTTTGGGGGAAAAAAACCCAGCTGGCTTCAAACTGAAATAAACTGCCATGTAACTATTGGGTTTTTGCTTCTCTCTCTCCATTAAGAGTTAAAGGCAGGGAATTTCTAATTGGTGTGTAGTTCTTATCGCAGCATTTTACAGAATGGGCAGCTCCTTTTCAAATACTTAACAGTAAAGAGTTATGTTGAACTGGGAATTTTGTGTGAGTTGTACGTCACTTTTGTATTTAAGAAATTATTTCTTTTGCACTGTTTCTGGTGCAGTCGCATTCTTGCAAATATCTGTCATATGCCCTTTGTTTTCAACTCTTGTCCTACCTTTCTGTGTGTTCTTTTTCAATTAGACCTTATAGGGACTTTCATGAGGGTCATTTGAAGTACGCTGAAAACCTGAATGTAGCTGATAGATTGCTAGTTTCAGCTCCTGGTAGCCTGTGTTTTTCTTGCTTACTGTGATTGATCAGTCCTGAACTTTCAGGTTGATTTCCAATTCCACTGTGAAAACTGATTGGCTTCCCTCTGTTGTCAGTGTGTCTTTGGTTGGGTTTTTTTTTTTTTTTTGGTAGTGTGCTTAAGTAGGAATAATTTTCTTGTTTTATTGATGATATTTATGTAACTTAGAATCTTTAAGATTAACTAAAAGCCATGTGCTAGGAATAATGTGAGGGTCATTGTTAAACGGGCTTTACTTGAATAGTAAATTACAACTTTTTAAGTAAGCAAATTACAGTAAATCAAGCTATAACTTTTTAAGTAATCTGTCCACCAAAGATTCCAAAACAGTGTATAAAAAACATAATTAAATCATTATCATTCTGTACATAGCACTTGCTACGTAACTGATACCAGAAGCAATTTCAGAAACGTATTCTTTAGATATGGTGATAAATTAAAAAAAAAAAAAAATCGTATGCATTATGTTTTAAGTCTTAGTCGTAAGAATGTGAAGATCTGTTGACTTAATTGTGAGCTTTTTTGTCATACTGGCAGCATAGATAGTGTAAAGAGGTGAAAGTAAACCAGAGCTGTGTAAACGAGGTGTCTGTGGGCAGTGGGAGCAGATCAAGGTTCACTTCTGGTATGAAATGGTTCTCGGTTTTCTGACACAGGTATTTGTTTGACTCATTTAAAATATTCAGAACTTTTTTTTCTGTTTTAACATTAATATATCAGTTATTGTCAGAAAACTGTCTTCTATTTGGTTTCTTAGTGAGAATGTTTTTACCATGTGGGAACACAGCTTGGCACAACGTGCCTGCTCTGCTTGGCTTGATAATTGCATTAGTATTGCAGAACTCAACAGATAGCTGTCGTTCTTTCTCTGCTGTCATTATCTGTGATCTTATTAAATTTGCAGTGACCTAGTCAATTGTAAAAGAGCAAATATCTTTTTCTGGGAAAGGTAAATTGACCTGTGCTATATTTTGTCTTAATGCAAAATTATGGAGTGTATATACAGTCTAAATTCTGTGGGTTGTTGGCATTGCTTCGTGTCAGTTCTGCAATTCCCTTTGGGGTTTATGCTCATAAATAAATTGGTTTATAGTCTCAGTAAGAATATTGGCTTAGACTATTGGTTTGTGATAGAATAAGCATTACAGCTGTTAATACAGATAGCTTATCCAGTTAGAGTGGTGACTTTTAACCTCAGGTTTAGAAATTCGGCATATGTGGCCTTTCATAGAAGGGTCTTCATTGGGTCAGCATCTTCTCTAAAATGCACTTTTGCAGAGGACTGGGTGCATATTGCTGCTTTAGAAATAAGCACAGTGCGTGACTCAAACAGTAATTCAAATCACTGCGTTGCACTTTCTGTTGTTGCATATTAAAGAGAAATGTCACCTGTTCAGTCTGCCACTGAACAAGAGTGTGTAACACTCTGCTATTAACCAGAGGAATGCAGCTTAAATTTGGTTAAAATGAGGAGGAGTGCAAAAGACCATTCAGTTCTTCTGTTTTAAGAAATAACTTCTTAATTCTGTTTGGTAAACAGGGCTTTCCTGCCTCACTTATGTGGAACTGAGAGAAGGTAAATATTTGAAATACATTTACAATTTTATTCCTGAGCACATGAGTTTGACTCTTCCTAAGCATGCAAATCACAGGAAAGGTTCACAGTATGGCTTTCGTTCACCCATTTCTGCTCCATCTGCTTTGGCTGCAGGCTCTCTGTGTTCTGGGGGAATTGACTTTGCCTGACATCATGTATACCTCTAGATCTCATCCACATATTTTACTAAGTTTTTGCTATGTGATTTTTTTTTTTTTTCTTCACTCTTCTGTGTTAAATTAACAACCGTCTTTCCATGAGGCTTTCGTTATTTGCTTTAGAAAAAAGATGAGATGGCTCAATGGTAGAGGCATAGGTATGAGAATCAGAGTGAGAAGTGCAGCAGTTTCTGCTGATACTTGAGCACATGATTTTATGTGTTGGGGGAGCAGGGTTTTTGTTTCATTTTTTCCAATAAACTCCTGCAGTCAAATGGGAAGAGCTTATTGCAAAGATGCAGCATCCTTTCAGAACCCTTAAGATGCTTAATCAAAATGGTACATTACTTTCTCATCTACCCAGTAAGTGGGGTGTTTTTTTTCAGCTTGTGTAATTGTCAGGTTGTCCCCATAAGGCAATTCACTCTTACCAAACCCATCTTGCAGTATATTCTTGGCTCTGCGTTAATGACACTGAAGCTGTAAGGGATGAATGGCTGTATGGTGAAGGTGGTGGACTGGAACAGTCAGCATTCAAGTTCATGCCTCAATTTGGGATAGCCTGTATGACCAGTTTTCTTAAGGAGGAGCAGTTTAATAGTTCTTTGCTTTCCCTCTTGTAACGAAGATAGGGATTGTTTATTGCAGCTGCTGAAGTCTTGTATATTTGGGTGACAGACTTGTTGGGAAAGAGATTTGTGTATACAAATTGTGTACACACTGCTTGTGTAGGAGTGAATGCGATAGAGCCTAATCTGGAATGAAGCCTCAGGGACAAAACGTAAGAAAAATATTATTCTGGAATTGTGGTGTATTTTCAGTTGTTGTAGTTTGGAATGTAGTTCTGTTGAACCAGCTTCTGCATGAGAAGAATGGGAAAGGTGAGTGTGTTCTACACAGTTGCTAGTGGTAGATGTGCTAGTTGAATTTCTGTGATAATTTGAAATCTGTGGTATTTTAAAAGTAAAAAAGAAAGTAGCTGGCACCCATTTGCCAATTAGTTATGCATCGAAGTATCAGTTTATAGCTTGGCAGCACCTCTTCTATACATTAATAGCTGGAAAGAACACAGATGCAACATCTCTAATTCATCAGTTTCCTCATCAGTGGCTTTCTTTGCTCCTGTGTAACGTGCTGGGTTTTTGTGAACCTGAGAGTAATGGCTTCTGTGCTATGAACCTGGAGAGTGTTCTTTTTGTTGTGATGCACTGTTATGTGGGAAGCATATATAGGGCAATAAAAGGATCAATTTTTAACCAAAATACACCTTTTCTAATTGGTTTTCGTATAGAAAAGTTAGCTACTGGTTTTTAGAAACTGAGAAATAATTTTATTGTCACCTGTATAAGATTGCATTATTAAAAAATATATTAGCAAACTATTAGGTCAGAATACAGCAGAAATATAAATGTACCAAGTTCTGGCAGTATGTTTGGAAGTCTGTATGTAATGCCAACACACTGAATGTGTTGTGCTTGCCTACATGCACAGTGCCTTTGCAAAATTATGGAAGTTGTTTCAATTCCATATTTTTATGTGCAATTTTCCTCCTGTAGTGTTGCAGGTTAATTTATAACTAGAAGATAAGCAAATGGTAGGCTAAAAAAAATAAAGAAAAAGGATATATCACTGTAAATTTTAGAGCAGTTTCAGAACTGTATGTAATCACTCCTAATCACTAAACACATTATGTTTAGTAGTGTAGTCATGAGCTTACAGAAGGCAGAAATCCGGAAATACTTAAGGCAGAGGCTGATGTCTGGTGATGCAGCATCCTGAGTGATGCTGTCCTCTCAAGAAGTGGGCTGATGGATATTGTTTTACATTCAGTTATTAATAAATATCTTTTCCCTTCAAATATCATCTCAGGGCCGCCAAGGGCTGGTTGGCTCCTGGTCTCCTTCCTGCAGTGTGAGGTGCCCTGTGGGAGCCCCCCCCTGGCTGGGAGCAGTGGGCACACTGTGCTTAGTGCAGGGACAGAGTGCTCCAAAGTCTTCAGCTCAGTGTTCAAAGAGCTTCAAAGTCAACCTCAGATGTAACACCTCTGGGAGAAGCCCTGCACAGCCTCACTGCTTCTAAAAGCATTTTCCACTGTCGTTAACGGTGTCTTTAAAAATGTGCTAGCACCATCTTGTGGGGCAGCGAGACTTTAATTGGGTTTGAAAGTGAGTTCAGAAGGTATCTGCTTGGCAAGCAAACGCTGTGTGAGCATCTGTAACAGTGCTGACATCTTCAGAAGCATTTGAAGGATGAATTCTAACTGCTAGCGTTAGCTTGAAGAATCTCAAAGCCCAATTAATGCAATTCTCTTACAGAAGTTCTGGTGAATGCTGGATAGCTGTTGTTAGTGGTGAGATGGCACGTTGTTTTCTTTCAGCACTGACATTTGCTGTGTGTGTGCACTGTGAGCTTTTTGCTCTGAGATACTGTGTTCATAATAATGCAGGGAGAGTCTTAGATCTTAATTTGTGTCAAAATACTTCTTGTAACCGTGATTCCCTCAGTAGGGTGACGAGAATTGTGATTTTATAGTGGCGTAACATCTTCCCTTTTGTAAATTATAAGAGCAAAGATAGCGTGCTGTACAAACATTAATCACTGAATCCTCATTATGTCTTTCAGAAGAAATATGGATATGCTTGATTTTCTTGTAGTGTAAGAACAGAAGCTAAACATGTCTAACAGTCTTCTCTACTTTGGCACAGATACTTTTACAGTGCCAAGCTGGAGCTTTTTAACTTAGGCGTCGTTAGAACCTTTTGGAAGAATTAAAATTATAAGTAAAATATGATTTGATGTAAGTAGGATTTGGGCTGTTTACATTTGAAAAATTACAACTGCTTCAGATTGTGAATAACAAATGAAGCCAAACAGAAAATAAAATGTAAAGTTAGCACTGTCGTAACTTAAAGAAATAGTGGTGAATGCTGACTGTAGAGGTCAGAGTGTAGCTGCTCTCCACATAAATGGCACAGTGATAATAGGAATGAACTAAAAGACTTGATCTCATGTCACCCGGAATCACAAGGCACTTATCTGTATTGTAAAAGTGTTGCAGCCATTTGAGTAGATAACCAGTTGTTGGTTGTTTTGCTTTGTTGTTTTTTTTTTTAATGGCTTAAATGAGTGAAAGGATTTTGGTATGTTTTTCTCCTTATACAAATGAGAGTTGTGCTGAGTGAGGTGCAGTTACAAGGTGGGCCAGACATGCTGCTGCCAGCTCTGTCCCTGTGCTATGTCAATGGAATAAACCTACCCAGATGCAGGGAAGAGCTCAGCAAGGGAATTTATTCTTCTGTTTGTGTCTTGTTACTTATCTCTGTGTTTCATGTTAGGTACTACGAAGTATTGTGGAGCTGTTGACAGTTTGTGGATAGTTACCTAAAATTTGAGTATCAAACAGGAATAGGGAGCTATTCAAGTGCAGGGTGGTACAAGGGAAATACTGTGTAATGCTTCTGTTTCTCAGGACATAGCATTAAAATGTTGCTTGTTAGTTGTATATTTTAATGGTGTTGGGATTGAGTATGTAACTTGTGGCACTTGGTGTCTGCTGATAGGGTTGTGCAATTTTGTGTTAGAAATAAAATAAACTTGCTCTTTCAGCTTTTGGAGGTGGAAACGTATGAGTCTGCTTTAGACTGATATCTTAATAGGAAAATTAAATTTGTATTTTAGTTCTAAGTAAGAGGGTAGTGGTAGTAAGAGTGCCTTCCTCAAAAAATTGATGTTTTTAACAAAGAGGATGGGCAGTAAGGGCTTTAATTAACTGCACAGTGGGTAAGTTTTGCTTTTCAGTCTCTGAAACGTAACATTATCATTATAATCCAGTGCTGTTTTTAGGAACTACCTACAGGTAGGCGGTGTGCTGGGTTGTCCAGGGCCCTGATGCATACTGATCGTGGTGTCTGTGTTCTGAGCTGGCTTTGCCGTTTAAAGTCAATTTAAATACATGAAAATGGAATGATCATTGTTATAATTTAGGAATTCTGTTGTTCCTGTAGGAAAACAGTGCTGTGGTAGAGTAATCTGGAGGTTACTGTGTGTTAGTTGGTAACATTTGTAGTCTCAAAATGTAATCGTTTTGACTTAGTTGTAGCAGGACTGATGAGTCATTTCTTTGTTGTGAAAATACTGCTTTGCATAGCGTGTGCTTCTTACAGTGCTGCAGCTTTCTTCTAAAACCTGAATGATTTCAGTTTGATTGCACATTCTCAGGGTGCAAGATGAGGATGGACAAAACATGTGTCACATACACAGCACACAGATGTCATTGCAGGTTAATCATTACCCCAAATTTGCACGGCATCCAAGGGATGGCTTTAAAGCAAACTGGCACGCTGTGGCTGTTTCCTGCAGTTACATGACTAAGCTCTCAGTTATCCATGGAAGATTTTGGATACCTAATTGCAGATTGTTTTTTATATTTTAAGACAGTCTCAATGAATCTTGCTGACAGATGATGAAACTGTAATAAAATCTTCTCTCCTGTTCTGCCTTGCATAGTGTATGAAATACATGGCAAAGACAAAAAGTGCTTTTCTGAACTTTGAACTGACCATTGGAGAGATATGCCTGACAAGACCACTTGTCCCCATCTGGATGTAGGTTCACTTTCCTCAGTTGTTTCTCAGCTTTTCCTTTTTCTGTGGTAAATAACATGGGTGACTGCTCAGTTGTGCTGCCTGAGAGCTGCACACAGCCAGGAATCTGAGCTCTTCTGGAACTCCAGCTGGTGGGGCACAAAGCATGGGCAGTGCTGGGACAGAGCTGACTGCTTGTGAATGCTGCTCTACAAGTAAGGGCTGCTTCTGTTCTGAAATTTATTCATGGAGTAAATGAGGTGTCTTCTTCCTTTACTTTGTCAACACTCTTGGAGTTTGTTCCCACATCGTGTTCAAAGCATGCTAGAAATTAGGAGGTGTTTGGAGAACATGATTGGCTCAGTGAGAGGGCGGTGTGTGCTGGACCAAGCATTAGGGCTCTGCATATCAGGGTGTTTGTGGCAGCCTATGAATGCTTCAGGAAGGGGGCTGCAAAACATTTTCAGCCTTGGTGTTGTTTGTTTTTTTTTTTTTGTTGGGAGGTTTTTGTTAGTCTTATCCAAGCTAGAAGCTTCAAAGCCCTCCAGCTTTAAACATTCCTAACCCCGACGTGGCAAAGTAGCCTTACAAGCAGGCTTTCTAGGAAATACAAATTCTTTACAGTGAATCTCAAACACTGAAGTAAGTGGGCATTGGTAGGCTTCCTCTGCCTTTAAGTGTTTGGAGCAAGCTGCTGCTGCCTCCCTTTTTATATTTGGCTTCATTGCTGTTTTCTTGATTTTTAGAATCCTCCTACCCTTTTGTGAGCACTTGATTTATTCTGATACCTGAAACAACGCATTGATCTTTGTGCATTTTGTTTTGTCATGAGCTTTTTTGCATGATTAGCCCAAGTTCTTGTTTTGTCTGCTGATTCCCAGTCTTTTCTACCCATTGTGGTTTTGTGTAGATTTCCTCGTTCTCATCAATAATCACTGTGTCTCCTCAAGCATGACATTAAAATACAGTTTGTTATTAGTTCCTACTGACACTGATAGCTTCTATGCCTTGACTTTTTCCTGCTTTTGATACTCTCCATATTTTCTCTACTGTTTTTATTTACTAAGGTTTGACTTGAAGAGTGCTACATAATCTGAGAACTGGTGTTACTGCAAAACTTTCTGTTTCAGCACCTGAAACTTTGTATTAAGTGAATTTAAATTAATGACATGTGAAAGCAAAACCTGTTATTACAAGTTAGAGTTTTGTCACTCACTTTAGGAGCTCTAAAATTACACTGCTGTTGAAATCTTTGCTCTGACCATGGTCTTCAGTTGATACCTACTTGTTTGTATGTCCTTTATGTCACCAGTAGCATCTGTACACATACACAGCCAGCTGAATTAATTCAGTGCGTTGGCATCAAAATGGGTATGTGTTGCTTGGTTGTTGGCAGAGGCAGTGTATAAGATGTGTGAGTGCTGCAGATGCCTGCCTGGGGTTGATAGAGGTTGTGTGCATGGCTGGGGAGCTGCCCACAGCCTGGTTCATGCTGGGTCAGAAACAAGGGTATGTGGCAGTGGGAAACCTGTGTGAGAGATCACAACAGAGAGAGCTTAGGGAGGGGAAAAAAAAAAAAAATCTTGTATGTACTTTGGCACTGCAGCTGCCCTTAAAAGTTTTGTCACTTGTGATTTGCAGTGAAAGTATGTTGTCCCTGTGGGAGTCTTGCTTCTAATTGGATAATATTTCTCAGTTCCTTTTGGGTCTCTCTGAAATAATTGTTCTAAAATGAATGTATGTGTGTACAGATTGTATTTTGGGAGAGTTAATTACCAACTGTGTGGTTCAGGGATTTAGTGCAAGAAGAGGAAGAACAGTTGATGGAAGAAAGGAAAAAGAGAAAAGAAGACAAGAAGAAGAAGGAAGCTGCTCAAAAAAAGGTATGTTGAGTTTAAAAAAAAAAAAAAAAGGTACTTGTGGATTTTGCTTCATTAGTAGTAAATAGTGTTTGATCAGTTCTTTAACAACAGTGTTTTCTTAATTTTTTTTAATGCTTTATATGTACTGTCAGTTATGTTATGGTAACTGACATCTTGAACATCTTAACTGGCTTTGTGTACAGATTATTTAGAGACTAAATATTCTTCTGAGATGACCGCTCACTTTCCTGATTCTGGTCTCAAGCTGAAAGCTTCCTCTGTCAGTTCTCCCTGTTTGTTGGCCTAAACAAAGGTGTTCCCTGTGCACTAATGGAAAATTAGGTATGTCTGATCTTACAGCAAATCTAAGTTAAATCGTATGTAAAGGCTGCTTCTGAAAAAGGTGAGGGGTTTGCTCATGTTCCAAAGGAAGAGCTTCCCTAATCTTTTCAGTAAGTGACAGCAAAACTGCATAGTAATTTTTGGATCTCAGTTGTAAAAGTATAACTCATTTTCCTCTGGAAATTTTTAATCAGAGGTTGAAAGGCAACTAGTTTACTTGAAGAATGTAAATCTTTTAAGAGGTTCTCTGTAGCCCCCAAAGTTTAGTATTTTCACAAGTTTGAAAGACATGCTTGAATGTAATCTTTAGAAGAATTAAAAGCATAAATATATATATAATTTTTTAATGAAGAGACCAAACATTTGCCTGAAATTGAAAGTTTGGGTTTGTTTTTTTCTGCTCATGGAGTACTTGTTAAACTGTTTCCTAAGCCATGTGGCTTTGTTTACTTGCTGGATGCTGAGAAAAGCAAAATGTTACATATCTGGACTTCATCCATAGGGAATTGTTAGAAGTTCCTATGGAGCAAGAAGCTACCTGATGCTTTAAGGATGGTCGTTTGTGTTACTGGAAAAGCTTGAACTTGATCTGGATTAAAGATATCTCTGAGAAACAGCAGTAACAAACAGCCAGTTAACTGTTTAAAAGAGAACAAAAAAACAGTAAAATAGTCCTAGTACAGATGTGGCTTGATTATAGATTTAAATGGCAAACTTATTAAATTAGCTCTCGCACGTTCTCAGAGATTTTTATCTACTCCTTCATATTTGTAAGTAGCTTCAGTTAGTCCAAAACTGCTCATTTTATCTTGTGGTCTTTTTCTGTTTGATCTCTTCAGAACTCACTATTTGGTGTTATCAGTCTTGGGCTTGGTAGCAAAGCTTAAAAGCACATAACCATGCACCAGCTTATGGAATGGAAAGCTAATGCTTGTTTTTGTGCATACTGTAGTCTTTTAAAAATTGAAACTAAAAGACAATGCTGTAGGAGATCAGCAGTGGTCACAGATGTGTGGCACTTGGCTTGCAGAACATCTGTCCTTTTGAGTGGTTCTTGCACTCTGGTGCAGAGCTGATTTTGTAGGACATCAACTTTTGATTCCATACACCTTTTTATGACCATAAAAAATATGCTTGGAAGCAAGTGTTCAGAACCAGCTGTTATGCATAAACTATCCTGCAGATCCAAGTGCATGGGAAACTTCCCAAGGCCTCAATATTATTTTTTTTTAACCATATTGGTTAAATAAAGTCAGCATAATGAAGAGTTGTGTTATGTAGCAGCCATGGGTTACTGCAGCTGCCTTTTGGCGAATGAGGAAAAGCAGCAGTGATTTTGGAGTCAGGCTGATAAGGGTAAGCAGGCAAACTGGAAATGAATGCAATGTGGTTTTTAGAGGCACTGATATAACCAGCCATTAGTTTTACTTTGCTCTCTTTATTCCAGTGGGTCATGCATTACCTTTAGTAGAGTGGACTTTCCTCAGAGGAGATTTTGCAGGCCTCTTACTGTAGCTATCTTTATCAATCTCTAACAGCATAATTTTTATGAAAATAAATCTTTCTTGGGAGTGTGAGGCTGTGTTTAGACAGTATAGCAAATTTTTGTAAGTGCCTTTGCTGGTTTAAGAAATTGAAGAAGTGTTTTTCTGTTGATGTACTTTTAATTTCCAGAGAAGTGAGGATATGACACCAAAGTGTCAGGAGTATCATTTTCATGTAAGCCCTAAGAGTGCTGTAATATCTAAACCTAACCAAAGCTGACATCAAATGAGTGAATTTTTTCATGTGCACATGCTCTGCCTTTTTTTTCTCTCACGGTTTTAACTAGAGATAATCAGAGCCTAAATACTGCTGCAAATGACTTTGCTGTGTCATATGAATATGTACAGTGCCATAAGACAGGTTGTGTACAGTTACCAAAGTAACCCTATCAGATTGTCTCATTCTGCTTTAGCAATATAATGCATTTTAGAAGTGATAATTAAGAAGACTTTTCAGCTGGGAAGAACTGATTTCTGCTTCTGAGAGATCTTTTCTGAAGCCTGTTTCACTTTTCTAGGAAAAGCCACACCATTAAAATGTGTTCCCATACAAGAGATGTTTCTATCCTCATTTTTATTACAGGAAACTTTATTCCTGTAGATCTCCTATCTTGCCACTGTCACAGGAGCAACAAATTGAATTGTGGAAATGAAAGACTGAAAGCTCTGGCATTTACTTTGCCTGCTTTAGATTTCTATGTTCCTCTTTGTTTCCCCGCTGTATTCTGCATGGGAAGTGTCTGGGGCTTCCTTGCTTCCAGGCACAGTTTTTAACTCACTTCAAACAGGCTAATTTGTAAGTTTAATTTAGTCTGTTTCACGTGCTTATCTTTCAAATTAATTTTGTCTTCTAACATTTTAGCAGCTTTCTAGGCATGAGGAATAATAGGCACAGGTTGGCTAGGGAGAAGTAGAAGGTTCTGATGGAGATTATTAAATAATTTTAAAATATTTTAAAAGGAAGAAAGTCAAAAGCTAACGTTGCTTGTGTAAGTGGCATGTGTACATGTGGCTCTTCCTCCTATCTGTGCAAATCACTGACATTTCTTCTTTCTTATTCCAGGCCATTGAACAAAAAATCAAAGGTAAGTTACTTTAGAGTTTTCTCTGTGTAATGTTTCTGTATTTTTAAATATGGTGAATCACGTGGCTCAGCTGAAAGCTACTGGAAAATTGGATCTGTGAGATTTCAAAAACCTGCCACAAATAAAAGAGTGAAGGGGAATGGTTTCTTCCTGGAGCTGGAATTTTTCTCATCTTCCTGTTTTCCATTCTTAATTACTTACACAGCACTAGGTAAATATGTAATACCTCGATCTCCTTAATTGTTTTTTTGTTCTTCTAGTCTGTCTGCTTACAGATCCACCAACTGTATCTGTTCAAAATGTATTTTCTAAATGTTTTACATATAAGTTGGCTAGGAACACTTGATATATAAGCGACTGGTGTGTCCAGTTCTGATTACTGTATGTGGAGGGTTGATCCTGGCAAAATGGTCTGCATTAGAAAAGCTGTAACGTAGCTGTTTGGTGCAGGCTGGGAATGCTGCTGTTGCTCTCAGTGTTTGTTGGTTTTATAAATTCTCTGTTCCTTCTATAAGCAGTGGAAAAATCATTTTCACTTTCTTTTTAAGTTAGTTGGAAAGTGAATAACAATCACATACGCAGTCGTATGGTGAGCTCCTTGAATTGCTTTTTTTTTCTGTGGGAACATTGGGTTTAGTTTAATAAATTGAGCAATGTTAGAAACAAAAGCTTTGAAACTCTGCTGCAGGTATTGCTGAAAAATGGAACGTGTTGGAAGTACTGCTGTGGTGTGAGGGCAGCAAAGTGGTGCAGGATGCACTGTGCCTACCAGGAAGTTTCTAATATGATATACCAGTTGTAAAGAATTGTGGAAGTATTTGTTTGTATTCTGAATTAATAAATCATGTCTGGGGGGAAAAAAAAATAGGGAGAAAAATGATACAATAGTTAGTTTTAAAGAATAACATCCATTTTTGGATGAACATCTGACCTGTGTACTCAGACAGTCCTGGCGTCTGGGCGTCACATCAGGGACAGCCCTGCAGCAGCAACTGGCTAAACATGGCCTGGGGGGGGGAGGGCACCCCGGGGGGGATCTTCACACTGAAAAAATGCCTTTCTTATGAAGGATGAAATAAATAGTTCTTTTGTTTGTTTGTTTATTCTTTGGAGACCTGGGGTTGTTTACAGAATGAAAGTATTACATTCCAAATGTAATGTTACCATGTTATTAAAAGGGTGTTCCAGCAAGCGTAGTGGGAATTCAGAGTTGTCAAAGAAGCACAAGCTGGCAGTCCCCTGAAGAAGTATGGGCATTGTGGGATTCATGCGTGCAACCTTTTGCAAGAGTTTCTATAGGAACAAAATTTGTTTCTTGTGTTGCACCTAGCGCTTTCCTTGTTCTGCCTGCTTGTGTGCAGGATGCAAATTAATGTTTCATTAAGTCTCCAAGTTTCCATCGCGTTAATGTCTTAAATTATTTATTTTGTGCATGAGCTGAAGATAAAATACAAGAGCATAGGATCTCTAAATAATTCAGAATTATGTTCTTTCAGAAAAGTAGCCACTTCCAAGGGGGTGGGAAGCAGAGAGCTTCATTCTTTATTTTTAAGCGTAGCCTGGATGTTTCCAAAATGTTTTTTTAGCTGAGGTAGAAATTAGTGTTGCACCAGTAGCTGTCAGTGTGCATGTAAATTATAAGAGTGCCTTCTGAAGGAGTCGGTGGTGCTGAGTTTTTTTTTCCCTGTTCAGGATTGAGAATGGAAGTAGTGAAGAAAGTGCCAATGTAAATGTTTTCAGTACTAATAGCATTTAACACTGTAATACTGTCATTAAAAATGCATGTGTTTCATTCCTGTGGATCCCAGCTATTCTGTCTGGTTCTATACATCTGGTTTTATGAAAAAAGGGAAGGTGGTGTTCACAGGAGGTAAAGATGAATGCGTTGAGTAGCTGCAAGGGTTTCTCTGTGCAATAGCCAGCAGAACAAATCCGTCTTGACAAGTGCCCTCCAAGTACTCTTGTATCAGGGGTTTTAGAAAAGAATGAGTATCACTTGAAAGTCTTTCTTTAGCAGCTCTATAGTATTCTCAACAATTGCTCTGGCATTCCCCTCTGTGTCGAAAAATAGGTATTTTTGCTGTGTTTGATGTTAGCACTGCTAGGGACAGATAAATCAATCCATTTCCCTGGGATTTGTCCTGAAACAGGCATCTGCAAACCATGCCGTAGCCAGGAGCAGTGATACACTGAGCACCAGGCTAAATGCTGTGTAAGAAGAATGTTTGAGTTTTGTTTTTGTTGCTCACTTCAGTAATTGTGATGGGCTGCTGCAGAATGTGAGATTTCATTAGGGGATCTTTTTTTAGAGTCAGACTTTAATTACATACATAATGGTGTAGTGAAGGGATTTACAAAAGCGGAGCGCTGATGTTTGTGTGGATGCTGTTGTGGTGGTTGGCTGTTCTGAATGTTTTTGTGCTTTGCAAAACAGTAAAGCTGGAACTGAACACATCTGTCAATCTCCAGAGTTCCTCTGCTTTGTGGAAGGCACGGGCGTAAAGGCTGCCTTCTGTAGCAGAACGGAATAAACTTTGAATCAGCCACTGAAACAGAAAGTGCTTTTAAAAATAGCTGGGTGTGGAATTGAAATCTTTGACTCATATTTCCCACCGTGGAAACTTCTTATTCGTTTTCTTCCCTGTGAAGCAGAATTGCTGGAGCACACTGAGCCTTCTGTTTGTGTTGGGTGTGGGGCGTTTTTTCGTCTGCCGGACTCTGCTTTACCTGATTGCAAAAACTCTTGCATTAGCTTTTAAACGTTGCATGCAAATTAGCAAAAATAACAGAACTGTAAGTGCTTGCTGCTAAAATTGCCTGTATAAATGGCATCTGACTTACCTTTGTGCGGATCTTCAGGGGTTAATGAATTGGCAAACAGTGAGATATTTTCCAGATCAGCTAGCTGAGCTTACAGCTGCGGCCATTTTTCCACAACGAAAATTCTAGCACTACATCTTACGTGTGTCAGCTTGAAAGCCAGACTTCCTCTGTTTGCCCTTCAGCATTCCAGCACTGACAACTCTTTGGGGCATGACGTGCAGGGAGAGTGTGTTACAATACATTTTTAAGGGGTCAGCTTAAGCAGCAGCGAGAAGAAACATTTAAATGACAGCTCGGTGCTGCTCTTTGTGTGGTTTAGGGGACGATTTGATCTTTGTAAGCTGATTTTGTGCGAGTGAGAAACTGTTTTCCATCTGCACCGAAGTTATTCAGACAGCTGCCATTTTTTTTTTTTATTGGAGGGGGAGTTTAAGTCACTGGGCCCCTACTCCAGGAGGAGTTGGCAGGCAGCACTCCTGTAGCAGTAAAATGACACCATGCTTCTCCTCCATTTTCTAATGAAATCTGCAGAGTGGGAAAGCAACACAAGTTGGAAGCGTCTGTCTTTGGAATCTCTCTGCAAACTTTAACTTCACCATCCCCTGCTCTGTGCGTTCTCAGCAGGTTTGTTCTTTATAAAAAATCTGTGATTTTGGTATTATTCCTTTCTGTAAAATGGCTGTTATTTGACAAGTAAATTAGCTGTGATAGATAGTCTGCTAATAACGCTACCGTTCTGCTTTACTGCGGTTCAGAACAGAATGCTGCCGTGCAAAAACTGCTATTAAGCAAGCAACTTGTTTATAAGAAACTAGAAATGCGAAGGATTAAGGGGTGTTGGAATTTCTAGCAGCTGTATTGGAGTATTATCTATTATTTGATCTTCTGGGAAGTTGTGGAGCAGGAACTGTTTGGCAAGATAAATTGTGGAGCTTTAAACTTTGTGGTGCTCGGGGAAGAGAAGATGAAGTAATTCTGTTGCACCTAAAAGCACTTCTGATTAATTTCAGTTGGAAATTAACATACAAATATAAGCTCTACCCATTTTAGATCAGCTGTATTATCTGGTAAGATTTTTCTATCTGGTTTGCTGATCGAAGTACAAAGAATACTGTATTTCTTAAGGAAATTAATACATGATATGAGAGAGATGTAATTTTCTAAAAGTGTTTGGGAATTCTTGTTGATTTTATAGCTTCAGGGTAGCTTGGCAGAAAGTAGCCTGGTTGTTATGTGCACTCCTTTACAGTTGTAAGTGGTTCAAAGATCTGAAGGTTGATTAAATCTTTAGTAGTGAGTACTTAGTCTTAAAGCAGCAGTAATTAGTAATTATTAACGTTGCTGTGTTGCAGCACTGCCCTAAACTTACTGCTTTCATCTGTTTGGACGGCTCGTGATGTCGTATAGAAACAGTTTTACTTTGTCTGGGAGGAGCAATCGTATGTGAGTGGAAATGGAAGAGAAGTGAATCTTTTGTTGATGATGATGTACGTGGGATTAAAAATCTCTTCTTGGGGGGATACTTTCCACCAAAGTTGGCAGTTAAACTAAAAAATGTGACACACGGTGTGCAGAAGGCTACAGGAGCTCTGTGTGACCTTCAGCATTGCCATCACGATTTGACTGCCTTGGCATGGTGACGGTTTGCTCGCTGCAAGAAGTGCTTGTTTTGTGTCTCACTGTCAGCACGCCTCAGGTGTGGGCTGTGCTGCAGAGAGCTGTAAGGAAGCCCTGCAGTTAGCATGGATCAGTTGTGGCAGAAGGCGTGCTGATGGATCGCAAAGCTGAGGTCTGACCATTGGCTGCACAGACTGCAACATGTGAAGAAAACTTTCTTAATTTCTAAGCTTATGGCAGTATGTAGACCACAGAAATGGGATTGCTAATATTGTGTTGGGCTGTTCACAAATTCTGAGGTATTTACTAAAACAGAGTCACAAAATACGCTCAGTTATTTTTCTCTCACTTCTAAATCGGGAAATGTTGAAAGCACAGAGTGGAGATGCACTTGCTGAAGATTTTTTTTAGTGAAATTGAGTTTTGATCTAAATTTGTTGTCATGCACAGTGTTTCAGAAGCATATAGGAAGGAACCCGAATTATCCGCTTATTGAATATAGGCAACAACTTAATGAATGGAATCTGAAACAGTGCTAGTAATTTTTATCAACTCCGGTTTATCTGTGAGCTTTTGAATACCTTCTATTCCTCATACGTGTATTAAATTGACTCATGTCTGGGCAGTTCCTCCTTGTAGTTCTGTCCCTCTCCAGCCAGCTGTGAAATAGGGAGCAGCAGGTCAGTGCTGTCAGAGCGCCGAGTGCTGCTCCGCTCCACCCCCAGGACACGTGCTGAAGGGCCTCCTGGGAAACAATGGCTCGTCCACATTTCTCTTTAGTAGCCTAAGGCCTCTTGTGTATGGTAACACTTTTAAGTTTCCCACGAGAGTTCTATTTTTAGTATTTAAATATTTTAACATAAGATTTAATTGTCAAAATGAACAGACAATTTTTCAGTATCTAAAGGGAAGCTACAGGAATAAGGGGACAGAATCTTTAGCAGGCTTTGTGGTGATAGTACAACGGGAAATGGCTTCAAGCACAGAGAGGGTAGATTTAGGTTGGATATAAGGAAAACATATTTTATAGTCAGGGTGGTGAGGTGCTGGAACTGGCTGCCCAGAGTGGTTGATGCCCCATCCCTGGGGACTTGCAAAGTGAGGCTGGATCAGGCCCTGGGCAGCTTGATCTGGCTGTGGTGTCCCTGCTCATTGCAAGGGAGTTGGACTACACAGCCTTTGGAGGTCCCTTCCAACTCTAAGGATTCTCTGATTCTATGATTTGTCAGAAAAAACTGTAGGTTTCTTAGTAGTAGCATGCTTTACCTTTGCTAAAAGGGGTGGCGAGACAATGCCTTAATCCAGATTCTGTGCTGTTAAAGCTGTGTGACTATGGGGTAATAGAGCTTTTAATGAGGAGTGAAATAAAATTATAATCAGGAAAAAAAATTGTCATTGCATGATATGTAAACATATCTAAGAATATCTACTTAGTGTTGAGTATTTTAAGTTACTGTTCTGATGAATAACTTTGTCTAACTTTCTTTTTTTTGGGGGTGGGGGTAGTGCCAGAACAAACCAAGACAAGTGTAAGCCAGCCTCAGCCTGTCACCTCTAACGGCACTTCCACAGCAACCAGCACTAATAATAATGCCAAGCGGGCCACAGCCAACAATCAGCAGCAGCAAACCTTGCCTCGATACCCTCCTCGTGAAGTACCACCGCGATTTCGACACCAGGAACAGAAACAGCTTCTGAAACGAGGTCAGCAGTTACCAGTTATAGCTGCAAACCTGGGATCTACTCCTAAAGTATTAAACGGCCAGTCAGGAGGCAGCACTGTCACAACCAAACAGCCGGTGACCAACGGAGAAGTGCCGAACAGCAGCAAAAAACAGCCAGGTGAGGGGCAGGTGCCTTGGTTTTCTTTAATTAGAGCTGGATATTTGAAATGAGATTATTGATGAGCTATTTGTTTCTAATATTACTTAAACTTCAAATGTAGGCTGCGGCATAATGAGAGATTCTCCAGTGTTGTAGCTTAATATTAAACATTCCAGGATAATTTCAGCCATCTTTGTGCAAGTTTGCCTGAAACTAATGGCATCTTTATTGTACCTTTTTGCTGGTAGTATACAGCAGATTCATGCCTGATTTTGAGCAGATATTTAAGTCAGGGTGACAACTACTACATGTTCTGAATCTCTGTTCTTTATCCTAATAATTGATTCAAGTATGGTAATAGGACAAAGAATTGCATTCAGTTTTGATGCAAGGACGTCCAGAAGGAAGGATCTTTCAATTTCCAGACTTTTGTTTTTCAGATTTAGAAATGCATGGGATGAAACATCTTAGAATATCCAAACTGCTTTTGTTGTTAGGTCAGAGTTTCTCTTTATTCATTAACCTGAATCTTGATTGTTTTAGAAAATCGTAGAATCACAGAGCAGCTTGGGTTGGAAGGGACCGTGAAGCCCATCCAGTATTTGAATAGTAGTAGATCTACGTGTCCAGCAAGTAACTAAAAGATTGTAAGAGTCTTTTAGGAGAGAGAAACGTTGGCTAAATTACCTTCCTATCTTACAAAAGATTTGTATTATCTTTAGTGTCCTCTCAGTCACTGTGATGGTAGATCTTTTTAAATTGTGAGCTGTACTCAGGGCATTCCTGTACGTGCAAGGTAGACTGGTCAAATCTGGCAAATAGGATTGGGAGGCCAAGGTCTCACTTCTGTATGTGCTGTGTATGAGTCTGCTTGCAAGTGCTTTTGTCTAGTATAACCGGCAATAGTGTCTGGCTGGGATGTTGTGAAGGTGAGTGCCTTGAGATCTGTAGGAAAGATGACAAAGGAGAATGATCTTTCAGTGCTGGGTTTTTGTAATGGTTTCAGAAAGTAGTCTAATGAATTGCTTTGTGAACTAACATAGATGTGATGATAGTCCAGCATCGTGCAAGAGTACCTTAATCCTTAATTCTTTTGGAGTGGAAAGCCTTGGTCTTATTTACCTTCCCCAGTTCGTCTTTCAGACTCCAACCAGTCCTTCTTCAATATATCCTGGAGTGGGAACTCTTTGAGTTTAGATGTGATTCTAACTTTGGGTAGGTGATTTGTAAAAGCCAGGCAACACAAGTACTGCTATATTTACATGTTTCCTTAAATAAAGGGGCAAAAAAAATACCCCTTTGCCTGTATATAATGCGTACAATCATCTGCAGTGCCATGTGCTCCTTTGGAAAGTGATACAGTCATATTGTACCAACACAGTTATTTTAAGAAATCTACATCAGAAACCCTTTACCAGAACATTTTCATACCAAATTCAGGTGATTGCAATACTGAAACTTCCCTCCATACGTAAACTTCATGTGAGAGAAGGGTCTTGAATGCCACCTTGGTACATTTGCTTGCTTTTATGCTTTGTTTCACGTCAGAATAGCCAGGTGGTTATTCTACAACAAAATGATTTATATAGTTACCTAAAATATTTGCTAGCAGTAGTTACTTACAATTGTGGGACATAAGAGAACACAAGAGCTGTCAGGATCCTGGCTTTTATCCAGGCTAAGTTATTTTGATTCCTTCACTGACGTGAGTCACTCTCCCTTTATTCTTATGCATCTTGCAGTGGTGCAGCTAATTTGCAAGCAGAGCCTTTGGAAACAGAGTTGTTCATGTGACTCATGTTGGTGTGGTTTTTTTTCTTTTTTTTTCCTTGTGTATTGTAGGAGTAAGGAAAGAAGTGAGCAGTTGAGATTGGCAGTTAGTAGAAATAAAGGTTGACTTAAATTAGGAAACGTTGCCTTAAATGTAACAATTAAGATCTCCAACTGAAAATGTGCTCCCTTTTATATAAATCAAACTTTTAAAATTAAGGATGTCTCAAATTTGCTAATTAAATGCCAAATGTATAAAAGCTAATTAGTTGTGAAAATACTTAGTAAAACCAGCAAATTTTCTACTTAATCTGGCCTACATTTAGGACTGATTTTTATATCAGTCCCTCTTCCCTTGTGCTATGTTCTGAGCTATGGCGAGGCAATTGATAGACTGAGAGGGGGCACTCTCAAGAGAAATGTCTCTTGGAAAGGGATGCTAATAGATAGAAGTAAAAAGTGGTTTAGGAACTCAAAGCTCTGAGTTACATAAGCGGTGCTTCTGTAATTTTCTTTTTTTTTTTTTTTTTGTAGGCATGCCTCCCATTCGGGACTTGGTGAGCCACTCCCCTAACCAGTCAGGTTAGCCATTTAAATCTCACCTTTTTTCACACTACGTGTGTTTGTAGTAGTTACATGTCTCACACAGTTCTGTCTGATTTTTTTTTTCGATTCTTTGGCTTATGTCTTTTCAATAGCATGTGCTGTGTGAATGTCTGGCTTGTGTATACTTTGTGTGCCATAACATATTACACTTAGGTAAACATTTTCAATTTTCTAAGGTGTTAGAATTCATAGATTTTTTTTTTTTTGGAAGACTAGGTTATGTGGTAACTTAGCTCTAAAATATGAGGGGTTTTTGCTTTTTTTTAAAACCTTTCTGCTTGCTTGCTGTCTCTGGATGATAAGGTGAATAACTGCAAGTTTGTTTTCTGTCAGAGATGCTTCACAGCATGTGGAGGTAGTAAGTGATCACAATCCCAGTCTGGAGACCTTCCTGTTCCAAGTGCCTAGTTAATGTTGGACTGCATGTACCTGGGACTGCAGCTGTGTGTGTTGCTTGCTAGGTGAGGCTGTGAGGAGCTCCTGGTGTTTAGTTAACTTATCTGAGGGCTAGTTACTTGCCCAAGGATGGGCAAATTGCAGCTCATGGTTGTTCTGCATGGGTCAGGGAGGGCCAGAAAAGGGGAGAGTGCAGGGCTGGCTCTTGGGGAGAGCTGCCAGCTGGGCACAGACACGGTATCCTTGTCCTGGTGGCTCTCCTGCCCTGTGTTGGCAAAGATCTGTCGGAAACAGGCAGCTCAATCTTCTACTTCTCAGGTTTGAGTTCTTCAAAAAGACAAAACCAGACTTCAAGACCTTCTGTATGACAGAGAAACTGGTACCTGAGGTTAACAAACACAGTGGGGTCTCTTTGGGTTTTGGTTTTGTCACCTCTTAACAAGTGTGCTTTTTAGCTTGTTTGCTGAAGTGCATCTTTCCATGAAGACCAAAAGTACAGTAACTGGAAGGTACAGTGTGGACATACTGTATACACGCCACTAAGTTCTGGAACTGAAAAAGGAGGCAGGATTCAGTGCATCTCAGTCCTATAGTTTAATTTAAACTGTGTGGTGGTACTTAAAACCACAACTGCCAACAAAACTCCTTTAGGCAGTGCCTGGTAAAACTGTAGGCTGCTGTAGACTGATCTTACTGTGCACCAAATGCAGTATGTCATCAAGTAATTGTTCAGTTTTTAGAGTGTTCTTGTACTATCTGCCAGATGGGAAGTAAGAGAGAATAACTTACTTCCTCAGTGTTTGGATTTTTTTTTTATTTCAGCAGTTTGTGAGCTGTAGAGATTTGAGCAGGACTATTTCAGAGCAGTGTAACTTATGAAATCATTGATACTTACTTGTGTCCAGGAAAAAGATGATTAGTCAAGGTAATTCTGTTGGTAATAGAATGAGAGCCTGGATGGCTGGAAATTAATCATTACACCATGCTTGTGTATTGTGCTTATCACAAACTGTATTGCATCTAAATTAATACAAAAGATTTCAATAAATACAAGCTTTCTTTCAATTTATTATCTTGCTGTGCAAATTAGGGTTTGTTACCATTTCGTTCGTTGTCGTAGCCTGTTCTTCACACTGAATTCAGACTGCTTGCCATGTATCTGTGTACTTCCATGCTGTTTTTAAAATTTGATCATGTTATTGGGATAACACTTACGTAACATGATCATGTTTTGTTAAGACAGCTCTTTAATACTCTTGCTTTTCTTCAAGCGAATGCAGGCAACTCTTCGATTAGTCTTTTAACGTAAGTTAGGTGTCATCTTATGAAATGTCAGTGTGAGGTTTGAGATCTTGGACAGCTGCTTGTGTGCTACAGCGTTTTTCCAGTGGCATATTAGTGGGCAGGTTCTAGGTTATGTTCTTCTGAATGAATTCCTTCCAGTTCTCCTGAGGATGCTGTGTGGTTTCCTCCACCAAGAGCATGGAGCTGTAGAGTCAAGTAATGTTTCAGATTTGTTATTCTAATTCAAAAATATAGAGATTTCTCATTCCTGTGGTATTGTCAAGTTCCTTTTGAGAGGCAGTAACGCTCAAACGAGGTCTCTTAAAATTTAAATTGACACCAGCTTCGTTTCTCAGTTCAGCCACTCATGCTTACCTGATAAACCTCATCATTCCCCTTCTTGCAGTGGAATTGGAGTGCTGAGAACAAGCTTCTGCCAAGTCATCTTCAGATGCTTCCTGTGTTTTGAAGTTACTACCAAAAGTCGTATCTTGTATGTTTCAACCTCTATGTAGATGGCAGTTTTAAATAAAATTTTATTAATGTTTTTAATAGAGTAGGTGCAGTCTGTAGGGGATTGGGGCACACTGGGGCTTGAGGCTTCAGTTTGTGCACTGAACTGGGAGCAGAAGGGAAAAACCACACAGGCCAGCAGCTTCCCTTCAGACTTCACACTTAAAGTCTGTTTCTAAGAAACATGAGAAGCTTATAAATCAGTACTTTATTATTAAAAACAGCCAATCTCTACATGTTCTGTAGATAGCTTTTGAGAAAATAATGGATTGATACCCGTTGCATTTTGTTACTGTTAGCTCTGTCTGTTAGCAGGGACAGGTACAGCTTTGTAAAGGTCAGTGTGAATAGCCTTCTCTAGACAGATGTAAGGCATGTACTGTAAAAATCCATTTAGAATGAGTATGAACAGAAATTTTTCTTTAGGCACGTGCTTATTCCATATTCTAAGTAAAGGCAAAAAAAAAAACCCAAGAACGTTGCTTTTAGAAAAGCAGACTTTTTTTAAAAATGGAAATGTTTTTACTGAGCAGACAGGTGACTTGCAACTGAGCATGTGTTGTTTCGGTTCAGGAAAATAATAAGTGAACTGCACTGAGAGGTGTTATATTTGTGTTTTGTTGTCATCTTCATTACTGTATTTCCATATGCCTCATAATTCTGTAGTTTCATGTTGCAATGCATTTGTCTGTGCTTTGATTTAACAATTTTGGGGGAAAAAAAATCTCTGCAATAAAGCTTTAGAAATATAAAATGAATATTGACAGCACTTAATTTTATAGCAAATACTTTGTGATGTGTGTACTTAACCACAAAATATTTGGAAGTCAATTGAGATGTATTTCTTCCTGACTCCAGGTCATAATGATCCTACTAATTAAAAAAGAAATGGTAGTTCTTACATAACTGACAATGAGAAGCAGTAGTTCAGTTGCTATGGTGTTTCTACAGCAGCAGAACTTTAGATTGGCATTGTGACTTTTGTGTCGAGTTGTTTTTGTATAAAAGAATTAATTCGTACCTGAGAAAACATACATAATATCTTTTAATGGTGTGTGTTTCTGCAGCTATTGTCTCATAACATTTGCTACTGCTAGGTCAGTTTAATATCCAGTTTAGATTACTGCCTTTCAGAATCTCTTTGAATTCAAACACTTTATTTTTCATAAAGCATTTTCTATCTAGTTATACAGAGTGTTAAAAGAAACCAAAACAACACTATTTGGAAAAAACAGAACTGAACTTTCTGTAGTGTTTAGTCGTGCTTTTTGTGAGAATTCTGCTTTGTGCATTTAATGAGAATTGTTCTAGGTTATGCATAGGGTGATGTTCTGAGCAGGTGTGCTGTAAAGTTTTCTCAGTAGTTTTCAGTGACTAGTGTTAAAATAAGCAAAGAAGTTCTTGACTTTAGTGTCTTTGTACATTGTTTTTCTTCTGTTTAATGAAGTAATAATACTGTGTTTATAATAATGGCCTTGGACTTTCCTTCTTCTCTTTAGATCTGAACCACAGTGGTCTAGGATCCCATTATGAAAATTCTCACTGGGGACCAGTCTCTTCAAATAGTGAATCCAGCACAAACTGGGATAAAGTTATTGTAGACGGCTCTGACAAAGAAGCATGGCCATCAATCACTGGCAGTGACCCAGAGTTGACATCAGAATGTATGGACACTGACTCTGCCTCTAGCTCTGGGTCAGAGAGAAACCTCATTATAATGGCTTCAGGGAGCACAGGTGGTGAAAATGATGGCATTCGAAATGGCATCGGACATGGTTCTCAAAATAAGTTTGTGGTTGGTAGCAACAGCAATAATGTGGGCAATGGAAGTATTAATGGGCCATGGGGTTTATCCCATGGAACCATAATAAGCACATGTCAAGTTTCTGTGGATGCTCCTGACAGCAAATCTGAAAGTAGCAACAATAGAATGAATGCTTGGGGCACCATAAACTCTTCATCAAATGGAGGGTTAAATCCAAGCACTTTGAATTCAAATGGCAACCATGGTGCCTGGCCTGTACTGGAGAACAATGGACATGCCCTGAAAGGGTCTGTAGGGAGTGGTAATTCTGGCACAAATATTCAGTGCAGTACCATAGGTCAGATATCTAACAGTCAGAGTATTAACTCTAAAGTGGGTGGTTCAGCCCATGGTTCCTGGGGAAGCCTTCAGGAAAATTGTGATTCTGAAGTAAATGGTACAAGGAAGGTTTCATTCAGTGGGCAACCTCAAAACCTTAACACTGAAATGAATGGACCAAATAACACTACTAACTTTATGACCTCTAGTTTACCAAACTCTGCTGGTTCAGCGCAGATTAACGAACTGCCTAATAATACAGGGCATGGGGCCTGGCGTGTGAGCACAATGAATCATTCTCAGATTCAGGCCTCCCCAGTTACAAATGGCACTTCCATTTCTCACCTTAGCAATGGTGAGGCGAAAAATGGTGGATCTTATGGTACTACATGGGGTGCCTATGGTTCTAATTTCTCTGGAGACAACTGTTCAGGCCCAAACAGCCAAGCTAATGGTGACACTGTGAATGCAACTCTAATGCAGTCAGGCATTAGTGGGCCTGGCAGCACTAACTTTCAAATCAACGGGAATAAAGGAGGAGGGGTGTGGGAAGCAGGGACAGTCAACTCCCAGAATATGCCATGGGGAAGTGGAAATGGTGCGAGTGCTGGCGGAAGTAGAAGAGGATGGGGCAACCCTGCACAAAACACTGGCACTAACATTTCAAATGGTGAATGGAGTAAACTGCCTAGTAATCAGCATTCCAATGACAGTGTAAATGGAAATACCAGGAAGTTTACAAACGGATGGAAATCTACTGAAGAGGATGACCTTAACAGCCAGAGTTCTGCTGTGTCTCAGATAACTGAGCAGAATAGCGCGTGGGCCAAAACAGGTACAGGGGACGGTGAAGGTAGTACAGAGAGCACTGGATGCCATGAAGATAGAGTAGCTACCGAAGGACAGAATCGAGAGAGAAGAAAAGTTGACCAGCATGCATTACTCCAAAGTATAGTAAACAGAACTGACTTAGATCCACGTGTCCTTTCCAATTCTGGTTGGGGACAGACTCCGATCAAACAGAACACTGCCTGGGATACCGAAACATCACCAAGAGGTGAAAGAAAAACTGACAATGGGACAGAGGCCTGGGGAGGCTCTGTGACACAGACTTCTAGCTCAGGGGGATGTGTGGATAGACCTAGCCCTAATAATAATGATACCTCATCTGTATCAGGGTGGGGAGATCCAAAGTCTGCTACAAGGTGGGGAGACTCCAAAGGGTCAAATAGCCAAGGGGGGTGGGAAGAGGATTCTGCTGCTACAGTAATGGTCAAGAGCAATCAATCATGGGGAAGTGGCAAAGAGGAAAAGTCATCTTGGAATGACACGCAGAAGATGAAACAGGGATGGGTAGAAGGACAGAAGGCCAGCCAGGGTTGGGCTGTTTCTGCCAGTGACAGCTGGGGTGAAAATTCAAGAAGTAACCATTGGGGTGAGACTAAGAAATCCAGTTCAGGAGGTAGCGACAGTGACAGATCAGTATCTGGTTGGAATGAGCCAGGTAAATCAAATTCTGTTACTTGGGGAGGTAGTAATAATACAAACCCAAATAATACTTCAGGATGGGATGAGCCTGCAAAGTCTAATCAGAACCAGGGCTGGGGAGACCCTCCTAAATCCAATCAGCCTCAAGGTTGGGGGGATTCATCAAAGCCAATCAACTCTCCAGAATGGAACAAACAAGATGTTGGATCTTGGGGAGCACCGTCTGCCACCAATAAACCGCCGGGCTCAGGCTGGCTGGGGGGACCAATGCCAGCCCCAGCAAAGGAGGAGGAACCCACTGGCTGGGAGGAGCCATCCCCTGAATCAATACGCCGCAAAATGGAAATTGATGATGGAACTTCTGCTTGGGGTGATCCAAGCAAATACAACTACAAAAATGTGAATATGTGGAATAAAAATGTCCCAAACAGTAGCAGCAGTTCAGACCAGCAAGCACAGGTACATCAGCAGCTACTGTCTTCAAGTGCCATGTCTAGCAAGGAGAGCAGTTCGGGTTCTGGTAAGACTTGACTTTATGCAAGCTTGTGCTTTCATTTAATTGTAAAACAGTTCTCTTCTACTTGTTTCATATAACATATTTTAGATTCAGAGTGGAGAGGTGAAGGTGACAACGGAAGTACCTTTTTATTATCATTATTATCTTTTAAAAGGAGAACGCAGGTAGATGTTTTGATATTTTTATACAAATTGGAAGATCTGTTCTCATTTTAAACAGTTTCAGTAATGTAGACTAGGCAGCTCTGCTGGAATCCTGGGGTGTGGGGACAAAGGGTAAGTGCTAAATATATATAAATGTATATATCTAAGGAATAGGTTTTTTTTTCTTCATTTGATTCTAAAAGTTAAAACTTAATGTTGCCGAAGAATCAAAAAAAAAACAAACCAGAAACAAACAACAAACCAGGTTGGGCTGCTATCAGAATGAAACACGGTTACTTTATATGCACTAAACATCAGAATTTGCAGGCTGGTAGTTTTGGGGGCAGAAAATAGTTGTAGACATGTTTGCGTGGTACATGCACAGTATTTTGTACTTTTTCAGCTGCAGAGAGAAATAGCTTAAGCATAAGGAGCAGCCCTTAGGAACTTAGTATTTTAGAAATGCCTATTCTCCATCTAATTCTTTATATATGGAATTTGTGTTTTTGCTTCTTTTTAATGGAACAGCTTATGGTTGTAGTAATTACCTTCGTGCAAAATGTAAATGTTTGCTAATAAGCTTTTTACTGTATGCTATGGCTTTGAAAAGGCAAAACACTTGATTCTTTAAAGTGGCTTTTAAAATCCTGTTTAAAAAAAAAACATGCCAGTAACTCATACTGCTTTAAAAAGGTTGGGGAGAGCCTTCTACTCCAGCCACTACTGTAGATAATGGAACTTCAGCGTGGGGTAAGCCCATGGATACTGGTACTAGCTGGGGAGAACCCATCAGCGATGCAGGAGGCACCTCTGGCTGGGGAAACGCTTCTCTTGGTCAACAGGCTCCAAATAAACCTGGTGAGTGCTTTTTGCACCATCTTTGAGTAACAATACTGAAGGTGAAATACTTATCTTTTTTGGAGGCTTTAATTTGAAGTAAGCATAAAGCTCATTTCTGTCTGTGTTAATGGCAGCCAATGCAAATTGATGCTTTTTTTTTTTCTATCAGAGTAGCTGCTCATTGGTGTGTCCTTCACCACCAGACCATTGTTGATCTGGCACTTGGCATGATTAAAGAAGCTACTTCTAGCTTCAGGTTTTAGTAGCTGATTTGCGTGGAGATTTTTGTGGTTTGAAGTGTTAATGTGTTGGGGTTTGGTTTGGTTTTGTTTTTTCCACAACCAGGGCCTAAATCTATGCAAGATAGTTGGTGTGGAGATGATATGCCATTGACAGGCAGTCGTCAGACCAGCTGGGAGGAAGAAGAGGATGTAGAGATTGGAATGTGGAACAGCAGTTCTTCACAAGAAGCTAACACATCTTTGAACTGGCCACCCTATATGAAGAAAATGCCCACAAAGGTAATTCTGACTTGTGAAATGTCAAATCCACACACAGGTGCAAGTTGGCAATGGAAAGAAAAAGAAGTTATGAGGCTCCTGAGAATTATTTCTTCTTACTGTGTAAAACAATTCCCTCAGAAGGTTCTGTCAGGGTTTTTGCAATGTTGTCATTTCTGAATACTAAGAACAGATTGCTGTGCTGAGTGGAGTACCATTAAGCTTTCATCTTCATTCATAATGTTTTATAGTTTAATTTAAGCAGTAGGTGGCAAACATCTCCTGAGTGTCATGGGAATTCCTTTCTGTTTTTAAGGGAATAATGAAAGGTGGAAATAAGCAAGATGAAGCATGGATCAATCCATTCATTAAGCAATTCACAAATCTCAGTTTTTCAGTAAGTATTATATCTTTCCTGTCAGTATTGCCTTCTTAGAGTGTTAGTTGCAATGCACGAAAATGAAAGTTTTTGATTGTCTGAAGCTCATTTTCGTATTGTTTTCCTTTTTACTTCTGTTTGTCTCCTCTGTCGCTCATCCATTTTCCATTGTACATTCTCAATATAAAAAGACTTATTTACAAAGAAAGGCATTGTTGTAAACATTACCCAGGTATTCATCTAGTAGTCTGTTATTCTAGTTAGTTACATATGTATGAATTCTGTGATTCTGTGATATGGATTTCAGTAAATGTCTGCTTTCAGTGGATATCAAAGGGACAAAACACTTTAAGATAGAGCCCAATTATCTTGATGTTTTTTTTTCCTGCATGTCTGAATTGAAATAATATATTAATCTCTTTGTTTTAGCTTTTAAAAGGATTATTGTTAAATAATTGATTCATTTCATTACTGCAGAGAGAATCACCAGAAGAAACCATACAGAGCAATAAGATGGACATGTCTGGAGGTAAGAAAAGGAAATAACTAGATTTTACAGCTTTCCTTTCCAATCTCTTAGTTTAAATATATCAGTTTACAGAAGTATATATAGTAATTTATTTTGTGTGTGTGTGTGTATATATATAAAATATTTCCTTAAAAAATGTTCTTATAGAGCAGGAAAAAAAAAGACTTGTGCATATGACACTGCGTAGCTGATCGCTGCAGTACTGTTAATCCAAAAGTCAAACTAATCTTATACATACTGAGCTGGCACGAAAGTATGCTTATGTGGTGTGGGTTTTTGGTTTTTTGTTTTCTTAATACAAGTATCCAGAGTGCTTTGTGGACAGTTTCCCTAAATAGGCACAAATGTTCTGAATACCACACTTGCTCCTTGTGGTTCATTCTTGGAAATGCATTTTCGGTTCGAAGAAGTAAATTAATACTGAACAGTTACTTCAGATACATTTATATTTGAATGCAAAAGTCACTTTTGAGCAGCCTTTATTTGAGATCGTTTGCCATTATGATTCCTCTAGCAAATGAAAAATAGGATAATTAAATTTAATAGATGACTAATTGTATATGATAGTAGGACATGTAATGAAAAATAATTGTGGTGTTGTGTTTATTGTAACTGCACTTCTTAATTTTAGTTGAAAATTACTTTTTTCACTTTTGGCTCATGATCTATATTGCACAAGTTCTTTGCGTTTCAGATTTAAAACATAATAGAAAACCTCATTCTTAAATGATCTCAGTTCTTGAATTTGAATTTAAAGTATCTGCTTGAAAATAATTCCCTTGCAGTGCATGCAGTGAGGTATTAATGCAGTATTATGCATTGAAATACACTGCTTTACTACTGCTTATATTTTGATCTTCCACCTTGCCTAGTGGCATTAACAATGGAAGCTAAATGTTAAAATGGGCTTTCAATGAACACTAGTATTAAAAATGTTTCCATCTTTTTTGTTGTAATTCCCCCCACAATAACTGAATAAAATTAAAGAGTCTCTGAAATCTTATGCAGATGAAGGGCATGTAATAAAGATACTGCTTCAAAGCCAAGACAGTGCTTGTTGTGACTCTTCAAAGAAAAACAAAAAGGTGACATTTATGTCTGACTTAAACAACTATATATGCTTTGTTTTTGAGAACAGACTGAGAATATTTTGGGGAAGTGTACAAAGTGTTGATGCTTTTCTGATTCTGAATTTGAAGTTCCTGTAGCCGCTGATTCGTAGTGTTCCCTTTCCTTTGAAGCAAAACCCAGACAGTTTAAAACTGAATTGATGCTTTCTTTTATTAGTACCAAGCTTGAAAGCTGTGTTGTGTATTTTATAAGCTTAAGCCCATTCATACTGTATCTGGAAAACTGTGTAGTCCTTCAATGTCATAGTCACATCTCTCTCACCTTCTTTTAGGGATATTGCAAGATAAGAGAATGGAGATTGATAAGCATGGCCTCAATGTTGGAGATTACAATCGTGTGGTTGGAAAAGGCCCTGGTTCTCGTCCTCAGATTTCCAAAGAGTCTTCCATGGATCGCAGTCCTTATTTTGATAAGGTTAGTAGCTGTCTCACTGGTGGACATTCTGAACTTCTTTGACTCAGTATTACAAGTATTTATGTGTGCGCTCCTTAGCTTTCTGCATTTGGTGAAGAAGAAACTTAGTGCTTTCTTGTTGATCCATAAGATATGTTTTATTCTTTTTAACTTACTGATATATAATACTAAGCACTTTCTGTAGCCCATTTGCAGTGCAAATAACTAACCTGATCTCTTTTGTTTTCTGCCTATTTCCTGCTGATGCTGGACTCTCATGTGACTCTTCCCTTCTGTTCCTGGCAATGGTTTCTCCCTACTGCTTGCTTGCTGGCTGGTTGTTGCGCATCGGTTTGTCTGTCCAATCAGGATGGCATTGTAGCAGACGAGTCCCAAAACATGCAGTTTATGTCCAATCAAAACATGAAGCTTCCCCCTTCAAATAGTGCACTACCTAACCAAGCCCTTGGCTCCCTGGCAGGGCTGGGTATGCAAAACTTGAATTCTGTTAGACAGGTAAGGCTGTGTGCATATCCTTGGCATGTTACTTGACAGCATTTAATACCTTTTATTATAACATCCTAGCTATTAATATGATTAATCTGTCTTTTAGTTATAATGCGAATGTATAGGGATGGGAGAAGTAGTGGAAGAGGTTTATTGTCTCTAACCAATCCATCTTTTCCCCAGAATGGCAATCCCAGTGTGTTTGGTGTTGGTAATATAGCAGCACAGCCCAGGAGCATGCAGCAGCCTCCAGCACAACCTCTTAATTCATCTCAGCCTAATCCACGTGCTCAAGTGCCTCCTCCATTACTATCCCCTCAGGTAACTAAGTACTTGGAACATTCTACATATAAGCTACCAAAATGCTGCTTCAGAAGAATTTTCTGTTTACCGGTGTTGCTGATATTTATTCTGTAAATGTTTGAAAACTTACTTGTCCCGATTAGTGTTACAAAAAATAGGTAACTGTTAACCTGAAATTGTAATATCCTACAGCTAGTGTAACTACTTGCACGTGCTGGTCACTCACTGATTGTGCTGGTCTGTTCTGCAGGTTCCGGTATCATTACTGAAGTATGCACCAAACAACGGTGGCCTGAGCCCACTTTTTGGCCCACAACAGGTAGCCATGTTGAATCAACTGTCCCAGTTAAACCAGCTTTCTCAGATCTCCCAGTTACAGGTAAGCTAAAAAAAAGGTAAATGCTCTGTGTTCTGTTTGAACATGCAAGTAGAAACTTACCTCAGCTGTACGTTTTTCTAAAACAAACAAACAACACCAAAACACTGTCTCCTAGCGGTTGTTGGCTCAGCAGCAAAAAGTGCAGAATCAAAGAAGCATGCCTTCTGGTGGTCGTCAACAGCAGGAGCAGCAGGTAAATACTTTTATTATTAACTTTTCAAACTTTTTTTTTAAATTGTCATTGGTCTTGAGCCGCATTTCTAGTTACAAGCTCTATAAAAGTGTGCAAGAATGAATTGGGTTTTGACGAGCTTTAAAGGAATACATTTAGCTTAATGCTGGGTTTTTGATATGTTAATATGCACAAAACATAAAAATTGATTTATTATCTTTAAATGTAGAAAAGCTTTTGACTATTGATATTGTAACTGCTTTGTTTTTTTTAAGGGTCGATCTATTAGTATGCAGCAACAGATGATGCAACAGTCCCGTCAGCTTGATCCAAACCTGTTAATGAAGCAGCAAACTCCACCTTCTCAACAGCAGTCACTCCATCAGCCCAGCATGAAATCTTTCCTTGAGAATGTCATACCCCATGCTACTCCTGAGCTACAGAAAGGGCCATCACCAATAAATTCATTCAGCAGCTTTCCTATAGGTGAGTTTTTTCATGCTAACTTCGTACAGTCAATATTTATGTAACAAAGGACACACAGCCTTTCTTCTAATTTTGCCTGTAGTTTTCTTCTGAAAACAATAGTGGTTATTATCCTGTTAATGTTTACAATTTTAACTGTAGTAGTAATTCTTAATGGGAGTCATCCAGTTAATTTTGTTCACCAAATAGCTTTTCCCATAAGTACACTTATTCCCAGAAACGATTATCAGTACTTCAGTGCAAAATGTTGCACATCTTAATAGTATGTCCGTTTCCTTTTATTTTTTTCTTATCCTATGGATCCCAAAGATAACACAAAGTCCTTTTGCAGTCACATATCCTGAAGCTAAAGGACATTTGGAAAGTAGAAACTATAAAGAACCCGTTGAAGTGGTTACATTTCTTTGAACTTTAAGAATATTTTCAATTAATCTGGAATAATATGGGTAAAACAAAAAAAATTAAATTTCTTCTAGTCGTTTTGTCCAGAATAGCTTTTAGTTCTGCATTTTTAAAGAATGGCTGTCTCATTCCAGACAAAATGTCTGACCGTTTATAAATACAAGTATCTCCTGTTTCTTTCTCCCTACATTTCCAGGCTTCAGTCCAATTTCTACTTCAGAAATTCCAGGCTTGTATATTTTCTCCTTATTTTAGGTCCCTTTTAAATGCTATCCTAATACAACTGTATACCATTTACCTCTGTTTTTTACCCCTGTTTTTGTTCCTCCTTTTTAGTTTGCTTTTCTTCTGTGTTCTTTCAATCCTGCCTTTTCTGCTGAGCTGGTTTCCTTTGCATTCTCATTGCCTTTCATTAAAAATATTTGTTGAGACTGCTGCTGAAATCCTTGTGCTTTAGGTGAAGTATTCTGGAGCCAGGGAGCTGGTGCAAGCTGTGTGGTTGCAGTGCATGTGGCACACTGGAATTTTGCTTTTGGCCAGTCTTAAGTCCAGGCTGTTACTTAATGGTTGCTGCTGCTGTCTGGCATCAAGATTAACTACTGCTTTCATCCAAAGGGCAAGGCAGAGACATTAAGTTTGCTTAGCTATTAGAGGCACTGTTAGTTCTAATAAAAGGAATATTGAACTTTCTTGCCAAACTTCATACCAAGTATTTGCATCCCTATATTAGATTCTCGTATTGATGTATTAGGTTCTTGTTGTTTCCACTAGATATATTTTTTTCTTCATTTGAAATGTCATTTAATATCATTAAGCAGCTGCTTTCTCTTCTCAGTCGTTGCTACATTTCAGTAACCTGCAGTATGTATGAATGTTTTGGGATCTCTTTGGTGTAGTACTGCGTAGTCAAAGCAGCAGGTGGAGTCACACTCAATCCACAGTTAAGTGGCTTAAGGGAAGAAATAATAAGTTTCTGGAATTTCTTCACCCCTTTGTGAAAAATAGAGCCAAGAGGAGTTTTTGTGCACTTGGAGGATACTACTGAGTAGCAAAGTCATGTGAGAAGGAGCAGAAGTTGCCAAATTGTGTTCTGGAAAATCTTGTGGTGTGTTATTTTCTCCATGTTCTACTGTCAGCATCAGAAGATGTAGCAATGAGAGCAGGAAGCCCTGTGCATGTTCAGGGTGGCTGAATTGGTCAGAATTTGCCAGACCCATCTGAGGGAGTTGTGTGTGTTGTGTGAGGGAGCTGTGTGTGGTTTTTATTTCCAGTTTGACCAGTCGTGTTCTAATTCCTTTACAGAATTAAGTATTTTGAATATTAAAGCCTGAATAAGAATGGGGTTGAGGGTCTAACTGTAAGTTCCAGTATGTAACTTTTGCTGAATAGGGATGTACTGACACACCCTCCTACTGGGAAAGAGGTCTGTCTGTCTTAGAGTTGAGATTAGTTCACAGTCCTTGTGCTTTGTGCAGATGAGTTCAACTGTTATACCAATGCTACTCTGGTACTAAAATGACACACTTTTAGATGTTTACATTTTAATTTCTCTTCCACAATGGCTTCTTCCACTGGCACTTCTGCATGAAGACATCAGCTGTGAACTTCAGAGTGCTTTGCATTGCTTAGCTTAGCTTCTGTCTGTAGTAAGTTCACTGCATCAAGTGCTACTTAAGTTAATGTTTCTCATACAGACTTCAAAGCATGAAATAACTGTAGTAATGTGCTCTTAAATGTTGATTAGAATGGTAGTGGTAATTAACAGTATAAAGGCATTCAGCCTGTCTTTCATAAGCTGTGTGTATCTTTTAGGAATGAACTCAAACTTGAATGTAAACATGGATATGAGCAGTATTAAAGAGCCAACACAATCTCGATTGAGGAAATGGACTACAGTAGACAGCATTTCTGTGAACACATCTTTAGAGCAAAACTCCAGCAAACATGGTATGTTAAGCACATCTTTAAATAGCATCTGACCTACCACCTCAGAATTTCAAGTTCTGTGTATAAGATGCAGGTTTGCTTTATTTATGCTTGTAGTTGTAACACTTGTGTTGCTGTAGCTGGCAGTTTGTATGGTATTGTCTACACTAAACTTGCTGCTTGTGTTGTACAGCAGCCCATAGCTTTCTTAATATTGTAACTTACAGAAGTGATCTTGTGATGAGACTAGTAGGAACATTGTGCAGGATTCCTTTTTAAGGCTTTCAGCACGCCTGTTGCTACTAGTTTTACCTTAATCTGAATTGGAAGTCTTCATACATTTTAAAAACTGGCTTTAGATTTCTCAAGCTACACCCCAACCCCTGACCCACTGTGCTGCTGTCTCTGGAAGCATTCAAGGCCAGGCTGGATGGACCCTGGATGCCTGATCTGGTGGGTGGCAGCCCTGCACGTGGAACTAGATGGTCCCCTCCAACCTAAGCTGTTCCCTGATATTTCATTCCTGTGCTCAGGATTCACATGATGTTTCAACTGTTGTGGTTGCTTGAAATTTCATCCAGTTAAAACTTGAGTCTGTAGCACAAAGGTTCTATGTCTAAAGATAGTTAAAAATGTCTCCAGTCTCCTATTACTGTTCAGTCTTCAGATTGTTTGGATATTTTTAGATTTGTCAGCTGCTTTAATACTATGAAATAATTTGCTGCCTGAAGCATGTAGTGGGGACATCCTGCTGCTGCACTTGCTTGCTCTAAACTCCAGCCAATTATTACCTGGGGAAGTCAGAGGTGTTGGTGTTGCTTTAACTGTAGGTAACATTTTCTGAACAGTGTTACAAATTTGATCATTTAACTCTATTGCACTAAATCAACAGTAACAGTTATATATTCCTTCAAAACTATAGAATGTAGCTTTTTTTGCTATATGACTTTCAAAGTTCTTCCAGGATTTGCACAGAACTGTGAATGTTGCTTATGTTTCTTGCTCTGTTGCTGGTAACTTTTTCTTTTCCTTATGGAAATATGAGTAAAACTTAAGAGCTTTCCAGTAGTTAAAGGTCTTTTCAGACTTAGCAGGTACTTCATCAGGAACATTCTCATCACAGAATATTGCTCTATTTGTTATCCAGTTGGAGTCTTACATCATGGTTTTATTCTCTTGAATTAAAATTTTAGTTCAATTTATAAATGTACTGTTTTTGATATGATTGTGTGGGATTCTATTCTTGAGGTTTTCTGCTCAGTTACTTCCATTTTAGATTATGTGCACTTCTATGACTTTCTGTGTAACTCAACATGATAAGAGAACAGTATGCTGGCATGTATTTTATGACTGCTTTACATGGGCTTGTTTTTATTTTACACGTGTGCATTTTATACCCAGAATGTCTGTGGAAAATATGACTTTTTTTTTTTTTTTAAACATAGGTGCTATTTCAAGTGGTTTTAGGCTGGAAGAGTCTCCGTTTGTTCCATATGACTTTATGAACAGCAGTACTTCACCAGCCAGTCCTCCTGGATCTATTGGAGATGGCTGGCCCCGTGCCAAATCGCCTAATGGCTCTAGCAGTGTTAACTGGCCACCAGGTATGCAGTGCCACCACTTACTGCTTGCATGGTTCTTACTGGTCAGCATTCTTTCAGATCCTTTGGTTGTTACATGTGGAGGGTCACAAAAACAGTATACAGAAAGCTGTGAAGGATGTGCTTTTACCTGATAGAAATTGAGAGCAGTAGTTTTATTGCACAGAGAAATATGTCTCCCTGCTTGGAAATTTTACCCTGGTGAGAGGGGACTGAAAAACTAGAAATTAAGAAAGTGAAGACTAAAATAGGTAAATTAAGTACTTATAAGGTCTTGGATTGTAAGTCATCTGTGTATCTATCTTAGTTATACATCTCTGTCTCCTGATTTTAAAAAAAGTAGTAACAACAATGGGGGGAAAAAAAAAAAAACACAAAAACTTCTTTTCTGAATCTCTGTTTTTAGAATTTCGTCCTGGTGAGCCATGGAAAGGTTATCCAAACATCGACCCTGAAACTGACCCTTACGTCACTCCTGGCAGTGTCATAAACAATCTTTCAATTAATACTGTGCGGGAAGTTGACCACCTCAGGGACAGGAACAGTGGTACGTTCAGGAGGTGCATTTTGCAATGAATTGTGCAGCAGTGTTTTTGCAGTCACGTAGAGCAGTGATTTATTTGAAAATATATTTGCTACTTTCTCATCTTCTTATTTATCTATTGTATTGTGGATTTCATGGCTGAAAGCTCATCTTTGGATCAGACACTGTTGCTTGATGCAATGCAGCAGATATTCCAAGAATGCAGTTAAGAGTGAGTGAGCACTACTGATGTGCATTCTGATGTAATCCTCCTGAGCACACACAGGCAGTGTGTTGGAAAGCAGGCAGTCTAGCTGCTGCAGTAA